GTGAAAATATAAAATAAATATTCTGTTCATCCAGAGGTGAGAACTAAATATGCTGTCAATCCAGAGGTGAAAATATAAAATAAATATGCTGTCTATCCAGAGGTGAAAACAGAAAATAAATATGCTGTCTATCCAGAGGTGAAAATATAAAATAAATATGCTGTCTATCCAGAGGTGAAAACAGAAAATAAAAATGCTGTCTATCCACTGGTGAAAACAGAAAATAAATATGCTGTCTATCCAGAGGTGAGAACTAAATATGCTGTCAATCCAGAGGTGAAAATATAAAATAAATTGTCTGTCTATCCAGAGGTGAAAACAGAAAATAAATATGCTGTCTATCCAGAGGTGAAAATATAAAATAAATATGTCAATCCAGAGGTGAAAATATAAAATAAATATACTGTCCATCCAAAGGTGAGAACTAAATATGCTGTCTATCCAGAGGTGAAAATATAAAATAAATATTCTGTTCATCCAGAGGTGAGAACTAAATATGCTGTCTATCCAGAGGTGAAAATATAAAATAAATTGTCTGTCCATCCAGAGGTGAGAACTAAATATGCTGTCTATCCAGAGGTGAAAATATAAAATAAATATTCTGTTCATCCAGAGGTGAGAATATAAAATAAATTGTCTGTCCATCCAGAGGTGAAAATATAAAATAAATATTCTGTTCATCCAGAGGTGAGAACTAAATATGCTGTCTATCCAGAGGTGAAAATATAAAATAAATATTCTGTTCATCCAGAGGTGAGAACTAAATATGCTGTCTATCCAGAGGTGAAAATATAAAATAAATTGTCTGTCCATCCAGAGGTGAGAACTAAATATGCTGTCTATCCAGAGGTGAAAATATAAAATAAATATATGTCAATCCAGAGAACTAAATATGCTGTCTATCCAGAGGTGAAAATATTAAATAAAATTGCTGTCCATCCAGCGGTGAAAACGGAAATTAGCGGCGAAACGGAAATGACGGAGAAAAGGGAAATGACGTAGGCTGTCCATCCACTGGTGTCCAGCCAGTGGTGTCTACCCGGAGGTGAGTCTGCGGGGTTGCAGCTGGATGCTATTGCACGCGACCGGCGTTGGGCCACGCAAATTACTTAAGGCCACGCCTCCATCTCGTGTCATAGTCATAGCGCGCCGTCAAATGTGTAGCTACAACATCCACGACATAATGAAGCGAAACTATCCTTCTGGTCACGAAAAGAGGAAGAAGAAAAAAACCATGAGAGTGAATTGCGGGAACAACAATCAGGTAAACTTGTGTTCTCTCCTCTCTAAGTTTGATGTCAGTAAAGTTTGATGTTTTTAGGTCTTGCTAACCTAGCTGGGCAGGCAGTGCATCTCTTGCATCACTTTGTGCCTGACAAAAGTAAGAGTAAAACACAATTTTTTTTACGTTTGTTTTTGATAAACGACAAAGTGCAACGGTGTTTGTTTACTGCAGCTTGGAAAACATAACCGCGTCGCTTGTGTTATCGTGCGTTCATATGCGCGTACACGAAATGAAACTCGCATTTTTCAAGCAGAAATATGTGGAGACCAGACATACTGTTCAATACATGCACGTGAATGATGGCACTCCCAATCAAAGTACACATTATACTTTTAAAACAAGACACTGATTATCAAGTCTCAGTGTGGTTACAAACTCTAAACAACTGCACTAATTATGCAAGATAGAAAGCAATGTATTCACAATTTGACATTGATTGACTATTGATTTATAGGCTATATTGAATTTAAAATGTTGATTAGCTGGACATACTGGTCAATATGGATGCACATCCCTAATAAATAAATCAAGAATTGCTTCAACTGAAAATTAAAAAATCATACTGATGCCGAAAATGCCCAGGCTGTAGAAAGAACCAAAGTTAATCCCAAAAGCCAAAGCTCAGGGTTATAATTTATTATTTTCTTCTTATTTATGTTTACGTTAATATTCACTTCTTATGTTAACATTCTATAGAAAATACTCTATTCAATAAATATTGTGTATTTGAACCTCATTCTGTTCTATATTGTTGTACTTATTCTTTGACTGTTTTGTTTAAAGGAGGGAGGATTGTATGGGAGCGCTGAAGTGTCAGGTGTGACTGTGTGGCAATGGCAAATGGTTTACATAGCTCACGACATCACGGGTCAGGTAGAGGCCCCTTAGCAGAATTTTGCTTAGGGCCCGAGGAGGAGGTCAGGATCGGCACTGGGTTTAGCAGTCGATTCTGTTCCTTACCGGAATTCCTGTTCCCTTTACGCAATCATACTACAAATCATGCGTAGTTGCCCAGATGAGCAAAAAGCACAATTGAATGTACGGGAAGCCAAAAGGTTAAAAAGGATTGTGTTTTTTCCGAAATCTAAGCGTTTTTTTTTTTTTTTTTTTTAGAAGCGAGTTTTTCCCCATCTGTCAATTCAATCCAGATTATTTATTTAAAAAAAAATAATAATAATAATAATTAAAAAACAATAAACAATAATATGAGGAACTCTTTTTCTCATGTGTATTTTGGTGACATTTAACATATTGTTAATACATTTTGTATACTGTTTACAAAGTTGCATATCATAAACCTGTCATCTTTGACGTTTGCAATCTTAATAAATAATAATAAGACCATAATATGAGGCATTGCGTCGTTTGGACATAAACACGATCAGATAAGGCAATTTGTATGGGCAAAATTCAACTGAATATATTCCTTCATATAGCCCGTGAGTTTTGGGGGTAGTGCCCTTTTTTCAGGTCAGAGCAACTGCCCCACAAAATTCCTGTGCACGTCCCTGCTAAGGGGGCTTTCACACTGGCAGTTTAGTTCGGAACAGGGCACGGTTCGCATGAAAAATCGCTAATGTGAACGCTGTCATGGGACCCGGGTGCGCACTGGGGTACCGAACCCGAGGCTACCTGGAGGAGGTGGTCTGAGTTCGGTTGCTCCCGAACCGTGCCGCGGTTCGCGTGAATGTGAAAGCAACACGGACTCGGGTGCGCACTTGTTCAGGAAGTAAAGTAACCTGCGCATGGGTTTTAGCTCATTGTGATGTATTCAGTTAAATAAAACACTTGTAAGGGATGATAGTGTTGATGATTTACCTTGGATACGAGCGAGAGTGAGCCTGCAGTGTATTCGTGCATTGCGCGTGAAATCAGGGCAACAAATTTGGAAATCCTCTGTCTCCTCAAAAGAGTCCGTTTGCAAGCAGCAGAAGTCCACCTTGTGTGACACACACGCACAGTAAACCTGTAGTGTTCACTCAATTGCGCATAATAGCAGCGAATTAATAAAATACACAATATTGACCCACGTTCTGTTTTCTATCATGCGCCGTGCACGTTTGCGATGACGTAATATGCACGCAAACGCACCAGGGTTCGATAGAATCAAGTTGAGTGTGAAACCAGACCAACGCTGCGGGGGGCGCCGGGAACAAACGCGCTCGGGCTCGGACCGCAGCAAACCAGCCCAGTGTAAAAGCCCCGTAACCCTACCCCTAAACCTACCCATAATAGGAAACGTTATGCTTTTTTTAATAAGAAACTGTTTAGTATGTTTTTAAAGCCATTTGAAAAATGAGGAAATGTCCTCATTTAAATGTAGTATTGCACTAAGCACACTTCCCTCTCATTGGATGAATTGACGTACTGATTTGTGGATGAGCAAAATTTGTCCGTGACTTCACATGTTTTGATGCGAGTGTGTAAATGCGTTTTGCACCATATTCACTGCAGCAAAAATGTGAGCGTACGAGTTTCTTAATGTGTGATTTGTTGTAGAATAGGATTTGTCCAGCAGCAATGAAGAATTAGAGAAGGTGTAACTGTTGTGTTGTGTTTGTGGAAGAGAAAGTCTACAAATTTGCAACTCTTAAAACATTTCTCTCTGTGACATTTACTGGTACACATGTGTGGATATTCTCTACAACTACACACTTCCACTGTCACAGGCGCTCAGTTGATTTGCACCAAATATACCTCCATATTGCTGGGATTCACAGCTGAACCCTCTGGAGGTGTCGTGGGCCATCAGAGAAACACCGAAGACGGAGAGCGCCCTCTGGATAACCCAAAGGGTGCCATCACTCATTTGACCATCCCACGGAGTCCCATCGGTGCCTCAAGTATGCATCTATTGAGGGATATCAACATCTAGTCCTATACAACAGTCCCAGAACTGGCTTGCAATATTAGATTAGATATATTAGATTGTACATTGTAAGCCATTATGTTGATACTTTCTAACTAAACACTTGTGTATCTTAAAGAGGCATACTCTGTTAGAGGACAGTTTGTATTTATGCAGAACCCATGCGAGCAGCAAAGATTTATGTTCATAATTATAATTGGTAAGTACAGGCTGTTCTATGCCTTTATGTTACATGTTAAGTACATTTAGTTGCAGGTTATTACATTGTGTATTACAACACTGTTATATAAAGTGTTACCATGAAAGGATTACACAGCTTTTCTATCTTAATATCCAATGACTGAGAATTATTTTAATACCAGCCAGGTTACACAGAACACGTGTTCAGTTGTATGACACTATACCAGTGAATAAATGTTGTGCTATAGTCATCCATCATTGTTCTGGTAAACTGTGTTAAAATCATCGGCATACGTGAGCTTATTCATTATCCAGTGACATCTAAAGTAGTTTGAGATGACAAAATATTTGCTGCTGAAACTTAAATCTATGACTTCACACATAAAAATAATTAAGACATGTAAGATTATATGAAACAAAAACAAAGTCAATAATGATGTTATCAAACTTTATTGATCCATTTTTATCTCTTACTTTATCCAGTCAACAAGAGTCTTATTGCAAGAGCTCATAAAGAGATGACACATATGGAGAGGAGTATATATAAAGAGTGTTTAGGCGTTAAGCAGAAGGTAATATAGGACTCTGCAGTTTACAAGTACAGTATTTAAAAAGGCTAAACATCATCATCCCAGGTTATCAGCAGACAGAAAACAAGTAGGATGACGCACTTGTGCGAGTCACGCTCTGTAGATCATTTAGAAAGGGCAGGTGTAGCAGAGGACGTCACACTTTGTGGTGGGTCTATTTTCTCCAGTCGTTTCTTTACACTTTCGTACTCCTTTTCCCACGCCTCCTTGGAGAGAGAGGAAGGGCTGACCTCCAGAAACCTGTAGGCATCTTTGGTCTGGAGCTTAAAGATGACTGATGCTTTTTTACAGCCTGCACCAAAACTGTTCCAAGCCTGTGAAATTAAAACATTTACAAGTCAGATTAGACTTTAGATGAATCCTTAGTAATGGCTGGACAAAATGAGGGAACCCTCAAGCTTTCCCTTCAGGTACAAATAAAGAGAAATAATAAATCAATAAAACAAAATAAATCAAATCTATCTTACTGAAAATGCTTTGAACAGTGTAAACTTTGATTTTACCTCTTCAGCTGATTTGATTGATGCTAGAAATTCATCTTTTAGTTCGGCAAGGTCTTCAATAAGATCTTCTCCCACAAAGGTCTTCTGTTCCAGGTAGTCCAGCATCTGAGCAACGCTCTCCCAGAAGTGTTTGAGCTGAATCAGAATTGCCTGAATCTTTGTCAAGCCACTCTGGACATCCTTTAGATGGACGGGGTCGGGTATGGAGTCTGCAGAGGGGAAATAAACGTTTCAACAAGCCACACGTTTGCTCCCCGTCTTCAACTAGACTTGAATCTTAAACATGACTATAAACACGAAAGAAAACAGACTCACTCCGTTCAAAACTGGCTTTGGCAACCTTCATCTGCCCATCAACGATCTTCAGTTGGACCTGCCACTGCTTCTGTCTGAGAGCGGTCTTTTCAGCGAGGAGGCGATTCAGTTCAGCTTCAAGAGCCTTCATACGTGCAACATTTCCAGGGTCACGCACAGCTTTATAAATGCTTTTAACAATTAGCCCGACGAATGGAACGATCGCAGCGAAGATGCCGAGGCCTCTACTTGCTTTGGTTATGGATCTGGCAAATACTTGAATCTCTTGGATTTTGCGGTTTATCTTTTTCTCAGTTTCATCGAGCTCTTGTGTGGTTTTCTGGAGTTCAGATTTCAGATCATCCAGGGTTTTTTCAGTCTGCTTCAACTTGTGGTCTTGTTCAGTAATCTTTTTATCTGTATCTTTTTTTTCCTTGACAACATCACTGGTGGACGATGCTACATCTTTGTTGTGTAAATCGTACCTATACAACGTTGAAGAAATGATGCAGTGAAATTAGTATTTTATAACAATGGGGTGGTGTAACTCGCTTAAAAGTTTAGTTTAAAACACGTTCATACTTCTGCCTGATTTTAGCAGCTGCGTGGACAAGAACAATTCAACAGCTCAAGGTATTTTTGAAATGTGTTTTCATGAGGAAAATGTTCTTACTTTTCCACTATCCTGTCCACATCAGTGATAATGTCTTTGATCCAGACTCGTGCTTTCCCTAGGAATTTGACTGCCAAAACCGGCTTGTTTTTCTCCACAGCGTTCGCCAACATGGGAAACAGCGACTGAACCAGGTTCTCACTGGTCAAAATACACTGTGAGAAGGACGAGACGTACTGTAAGATCAAGTTTCTCGAAAACAACATTCAGAACTGTATTTGTCCTGTAAGTCTTTCTGAAATGCTGCTGCATTAACTGTTGTTATTATAATTTAAGTTCAAAGTTGAAAGTTGTAAAAATGTAAAATATGCATTTAAACTTTATAAGAAGCATATCAAACCAAGTTGATGTGAACAAACTCTTAGGATATAAAAGATTTTACCTAGCCTGACTTCGTCATACTCATATTCTAGTCTGATACTGCTCCATAGGGCTTTGATTATGAGGCATGTCTTAACCGAACCAGGAAAAAAACAAACTCTGCACTCAATTGGATAGACCTACAACCAATCAGAGCAACGCAGTAAGTGTTTTTTTTATGAGCTACGCAAAATTGTCAACATAACTCAACTACACGCACACTGGAAGAAGTAGTAAAATAATGAGTGTTGCTTCTTTTACTTGGTCCTCCATGAGTGCGACCAAAGGAGAAACCACAACGACCACAGGGCTTTCATTGCGTTCCATCTTCTTAGTTACCATCGGAGCCAGCTGATAAAATAAACTTTTGCCGAATCCCGTAGGAAGGACGGCAAACACATCTTTCCGATCGACAAATGCCTTGATTGCAGTTCTCTGTTCGTCTTTTAAAATGAATGCGCTGTCGATTTCTTTTACAACAGACGCGATAGCAGGATCTCTACATCTCAGTTCTCCAGCGGCAGTCAACTCTGAGGGAAACCAGTTCAACCCAAGCGCTCTTTGATAACGTGACGATTACGCAACTGCAGATCATCTGTCCATCATCGTATTACGCCCTGGCAATTTGATTGGCCCGACTAATTCTGAACCGATCACAATTACTCCTCAATGGATCGAGTCCAGACCGAACTTCCCGACCAAAAAATGTTGTGGGCAGGGTTCGGGCTGGCATCCAGGCTAGATTTTACCTAAAAGGTCAGGTAAAAGACTGAACATTTTTCACATTATGATATTATGACACATTATGTATTTATTTCCAGTTAAGGGACTCTTATAACTAACTTACCGTAATTCCTCAAATAAAAACCGGTATTCAAATAAACGCCGGGCCTCTAATAGTGGCCGGGGGCGTGGTCAACGCAGACAAATAAAGGCCGGTCTCAAATTAAGGCCGGGGAAAAATTAGTGGACACTCAAAGACGGACGCACTCAGCGCTTGTCATATATCACAACTATTCAGTGTTTTTAACCACATGTTTATTTTAGGTTTCAGACATTTAAATAGATATGATTTATAGCAAAACAATACATTTATAGTTTGTAAAATACACAATGGTGTCTATGGAAGCAGCAATAACAATCCATTCAAATATATTTGGCGACGTGTTTTATTCATATCAGATACACAGTGTAAGTAACTATAAAGTTTACTCTATTCTTCTCCCAGTTCACCGGCCACTTACTTTCATGTATTTCGGGAGAAACTGAAGAATTCACGCGCTGTAACTTAACAAATCCAACAGACAGGAATCTCTGAACTGCGGTGCCCATCTCACGTTACAGATCAAGATAATTTATAAAGGGTTTTAAACGACAAAACAAACTCACTTACACGGATTTGAGAGTCAGAATAGAAGATAGTTGATGACATGGTAAGCAAGTTTGTTAATATTTAGAAATAAAAGCGCTACATCTGTCATACAGCGCTATTTTGGCTGTGGTGAACACGTGCCAAGCATGACGCGTCACCATGGAAACTTGGCTGGCGGGCGGGCGGGGATCGCGAATTAGAAATAAAGGCCTGCCTCTAATAAAAGCCTGCTTCAAATAAAAGCCGGCTACCATCTGCAGTTCAGGTAAATAAAGGCCCCGGTCTTTATTTAAGGAATTACGGTAGCTACATTTAGTCTCTAGCTAACAGACACACTATATGTCATTCTTTTTACTACAAACCCCTTATATTTGGTGAAATTGACACAAATTTCACAGAGTTGAAAATACCAAAGTCAAGAGAAAGTCTGAAACAGTACTTTCAACATAGTTGCGTCCGAGGATCCGAACAGAAGCTGAGTTTCCACAGCGCGCCTCCGGATGAGCCTCTCCAGGCTGGGGAAGCTGGCCAGGCACAGGTACGAGAGGCGGTAGAGAAGCGCTGTCTTTTCGGCAGCCGGCAGAAGGTCTTCCACAAACGCCGGGCTCCACTGGGACACAGCCACTGGTGAGAAAAACATTGTAAATTTTTAAAGGCTGGAAAGATCACATTGATGGCTGGTATTATTTCTGTTTGATAAAATAAGCTACTTGCTTTTGCTATCGGCCATCCTTAGTAGGTTTACACAAAAAAATGTGTGTAATGAGTTCTCCTACAATGTAATTAAAGCAGAACAGTTTTGTTTGGTTTAAAACATGTCTCGGAAAATACAAAATGGAAGGATATCTGAAAATGATTATAAAACTGACTTACCTTTGTTTTAGTAAGTGAAATGAACAAGGTATCTGGTGCTTTTATACAGAAGGTATGACCCTGTCTCCGCCCTCAGGGAGAATGACCTCGAAAGAAACATGGGATTATTGAGTGTGGTTAAGGTTGGGATAAATGGAAGTGAACTTCCCACCAAGTTTTGCAATAAGTATCAGTATTGTTCTTAAGTGTACTTCATGTGTATCTACACACCATATCAATGTGTACCACAGTTTGAATTAACTCACTAGTACACAACTTAAATACATGTGCATACTTTCTATTACTCAGTGATATGTTCTGTAAAATAAAATGCAAAAGTGAACAAATGCTCGGTCCTTCATTCAATTTTGTCTTTGTCTTTTTCAAAAATTCAGGTGACACTTCACATGTGTTGAAACTTTAATCCTCACTTGAATTATGCATTACTTCATGCACTAATATCTCATGAATCATCAGGAACTAACACAAGTTCAAAGTTTTTCATTCATGACTTTATGATGAATCATGTTTTCTTTGTTCGCAAAAAAAAAAAGGTCTTTACTGTCAATTTTGGATAAAGCTACGGTTCTGGTACAAGAATCATCAGGAATTCATGCATGAAAAAAGCATTAATTCATTTACATTTAGCAAACGCTTTTATCCAAAGTGACTTACATTGCATTTCAAGGTACACATTCATATTCTTATCAGTTCTTGCTTTCCCTGGGAATCGAACCCATGACCGTAGTGTTGCAAGCGCCAACGCTCTACTGTTTGAGCTACAGACAATACAATTACATACAATTCATGCATGTAAAACTACTTCAATTATTAAAGGAATATACAAAAATCTACATTACATTACCTCATGTATGCATACAGTCTAGAACGGTATATCTATTAATGTGAGAACTCATGTTTTCTCTTTAATTAAGCATGTCCATGTGTTCTTCATAGTAGCCTGCAGGTAAATGAACTGACCCCGAAACTGGCCAATCACAGCACACGGATTCTGCTGACATCATGCTCTAGATCATGAACAGTTGGTACTAATCCATCATCGAGTAACAACTTTTTAGGTGGTTTGTATTGTCCTGTATTGACCCTCTTTCACAAAGCAGTCTGGAGTGAAATGATTTGTGAATTTAAGTATATTTTGCGGCGCATTACCTTCAAAAATAAAACGTATCCACTTTGTCTTCAGTGGCTCGGTTGATTGGAGAAAGCGAAGACTCTTATGTTCACTCTTACATCCAATAACAGAACCCCGGGATTGCTTACGAAACATTGTTGTCGCTCGAATGCGGAGAACCGGCGGACAGCGCAGAACTCGCCGCGGCTGGAGACTATGGTAATGCAGACCTGTCAATCAGCGGCCGTGGGCGGGGCCTGAGCAGGATGATGTCACACTGCTCAGAGAATCAAGCGCATTTCTAATGAGACTGCTTTGGTATCGCAGAATCAATGTAAAAAAAAAAAAAAAAGAAATCATGCAAAAGAATCTGATTACCGACATGGCCGTTAACCCATTGCTTTCGGTGAGAAACCTTTAGAGTCAACAGGACAGTGTCGTAGCGTCAACAGATAACTGACGCGAAGGCCGTTGATATCTTTATGATCATAAAGTGAGTTTCTTAAAATACCTTTATAACTTTGCTGGCTAAAATGTGTCCACGCTTGTGTGTTTACTTGTATGGAAAGGTGTCTTGTATATTGATCTCTGTAGCCTTACGATAACATTGCGTGAACACGGCCTCATCAAACTCAAAGATGAATCTGAATATTAGCATGTGGCAATCGGCCGCGAGAGCCAATGGCTTTATAATGATGAAAGTGATGATACGCTTCTTCAGGAGGCGATCTGTGAATGTGATCAGTTTCGGGTTTGTTCCTTAAAGCAATCGTTTGGCCGGAAGACTTGAAATATTTGATATTTTTGAATAGATTATTTTATCTGCCTGTTAGAGAAGTGGTTAGGTAAGTGGCTAAACATCTACACAATAGTCATAGCCCAGAATATCATGTCATAGCGACACAATTACACCCCAATATATAATTTCATGATGATAATTGCCATGCCCACTGCGTCTGTATTGACGCCAAAGGTGTCTCAGTGAAAGCAATGAGCATCCGGCTGCGACACAGTAAAGAGGCGAAAGGGCGTTTGTCTTGCCATTGTCTGAGAAGAAGCCGTTGTCTCACGGCCTTTTTACAGTTAACCAGATGCGATTTCTCAAGAATATACATTACCTATCAATTCTGACTCTCATCAGTATTTCAACAGCCAAGATAAATAAGAAATCAGTGTTGCAATGGCAAAAAATCCTTATTTCCTTAAATCCTTATTGTTTCAAATGCAACGATATTACTCAATCACAGAAGTGGGCGTTCACACTGAAGTCTTAAAGTGTTTAAATCAGAGTGCTAAAACATGGGGAGAAAATGACCTCTGTATAAATGATGACAGTTTTGATGTAATTCTACTAACATTATAAGAACAACACAGGAAGTAAATATTGATGCATGATATTTTTACACGAAGATACAAAAATGAAGCTGAAATCAGTGAGTGAACTGAGAAAATGTACAGGACAAAAATATTTATTACCAGACATTAAACAGAAATATCAGAATGTTTTATTATCTTATTAGTAGTCTGGTGTTTTTTTTAAACATATGACTGACTTATTGCTTGAATCAATACTGCTATTTACACTATTTATGTTCAGGTATGTTAATATTTTGCTTGTAAACGAAGTGACATGGCACTCGCGTGACTCTAATAAAGATTCCCATCTCACACAGGCTTATGGCTGATGAAGCCAATCTTAGTTTCAGCCGGTCAGTCGACTACAATCTAATGGGTTTAGTTCAATTGTAACGCATTAATTTAGAGTTTCTCTAAAATTTCCAAACCTATTATATAAGATACCTGGAGAAAACATATATTGACCTGTTAATATGAATCATTTTAAAGCTTAAAGGTGCTCTATGTATTTTTTAGCGGCCTCTAGCGGTGATGTTTCAGATTGCAACAAGAGCGCTCGTGCTCGTGTGCGTCAGCGATCTCAAGAGCGAGCATTCACTACCGGCCACAGGAGACTTTCAACGCAACGGCGAAAGCATCACACAACATGCTGGAAACTCATGTAAACTCCCACTGCAACGTTACAATAATAGGCTACTTTCATCAGCTTGACGTTGAACTAATGTTCCATGCTCGTACCATGATAACGTTACATTGACTGCATTTAGCCGACATGTGGTGTTATCTAGCATAGCCTACGGCATTTCACTAACTATTCGTATCTTTCACAATCAGCAATGTCAACATAGGTGAATGTATAATATGATAACGAAAATGGTGAACTAGACTGAACAATGTCAGTGTAACAGTAAGACAGTAGGAAGTAACATTACTGTACTGAACGTGTCTGGAAATGTGTATTATAAACAATATGATAGTAGTGGGATGAGTAACGTTAGACAGTAGATCTAGTACATAAAATAAAAGTTACATCCTAAAGCACCTACTTTTATTTATCCTGGAACAGTCTGTTGTATTCATTTCATGTCTCAAATATGTTGTAGTTGACCTTGCTATTTCATCACAGTTTACTAATAATTCAAACGCTCTGCCGATGTTGATCCGTGTTTTCGATCCGATTCACGTTTGGCCTGACGAGCTTCAGCAGATAAAACTTTTTTTTGTTTTTATATTTATGTGGAGTTTGTGTCGGAGTGTGTGTTGTGCTGGAGTTTTTGGGTGTTATCAGACTCATGTCGTCAGCTGCAGTGCCGTCGCATAGACTGTATATAAAAAGGAGAGAGGCTCGGGAGCGCATGCACGTCACATCCGGTGGCTTTCGCGGTAAATCCGACCCGCAGACTTCACATATAAATATGAATATTGGCCTTCAGAGGAAATAGCAAAACCCTACAAGTGGATCATTGTAATGTGTGATTACAACCCCTTTACACACAGGCTATAAAAAAAAGGATTCATTTTAGAAGAAAAGCTACATATAGCACCTTTAAACATGCAATACAGAAACAGGTTTAACTGTGTGACAATAAAAAATATCTTAAAATGAAATAAAACAACTTTTCCCAAACTAGAACACCGTCTTCTTTTTAATGAATGATATATGCATTCTTTATAACAACTTGCTAACACACACACACACACACACAGTCACTCACTCACTCACTCACACACACACACACAGTCTCTCTCACACACACACACACACTCTCCCTCTCTCTCTCACACACACACACACGCAAACACACTCACGCACACACGCACGCAAACATACACACACACACACTCTATCTCTCTCCCACACACATTCTCTCTCTCTCCCACACGCAAACACACACTCTCTCTCTCCTACACACACACACACACACACACACGCACACACTAACCCTACCCCTAAACCTACCCATAACAGGAAACTTTATGCAATTTTAATAAGAAACTGTTTAGTGTGTTTTTAAAGCCATTTGAAACATGAGGAAATATAGGAAATGTCCTCATAAATCACGTTGACATTGTAATACCAGTTTAATACCCATGTCATTATTCAAATTTCTGTCCTCATAAATCACCAGAAACAAGGAAGTCCCGTGACTATCAGTTCGTGCAAACGAGTATCAACATTTTAGACAGATTTCATTATATATTTTTAACCAGTTCTTGGATGAAAAAATTGATGTTTAAAATGTATTACTGCACTGAGCACAATTCCCTCACCGGCAATTACCATTCTGAGTTACCATTCATACCATTACATTTCTGAGACGGACGCGGACTGACACTGAAAACGAGCATCTGTTAAATTCCTAGCCCGTTTATACACACAATCAACGTCCTCATAAATCACAAAACAAACACACAAGCAACTTCTACATCAGGCACTCTTCAACCCTCCAGCTCTACACTGCTACTATAGATCTGCCACGGGTCATTTAATGTATGGAGTATGTGATGTATGTAATATCAGGAGCGTGTCTGTGGATGGATCATAAGTATCAAGCTTTATTCGGCAAAGAACCAAATATATTAACATTGCCATTAAAACATTCAAAAATTAAGATCAGGCAACATTTTATGGGAAAAAAAGCAGAATTCCAGATATTTTCACAGACTTATTCTTGCCACCATTATCCCAGTGCAGGAACTCTGTCCTTCTACAGCGTCTCTGACACAACGAGCCTCATACACACAGTCCAGACCACATTCACACACACACTCTATCCTGGGTTTGGGGTTAATTATGGACCGAGTAAAGAGAGAGTAAAGCATGGTGTTTAATGTTTTAATGGAGGATGTCAGACACTCTCATTAGGGACGAGCGACCCATGTGATCTACATGATGACCTGTGGCGCTCATGCGAGATGAGCCAATCCCACCCGATTATGACCCCGGTCATAGATGCTGTACACCTGAGAGAGGAACACGTCCCCCAGGATCCACACGGCTCCCGCCGGAGAAGGCAGGTCTATGGACTGGAAGCCACTGAAGCAGATCTCCTTGTTGTTCAGCCTCTCCTACACAGAAAACCAGTTATAACCATTCATTTAAATCGCTTTTCCCTTCAAATAGTACAGTAAAGAAAGGCATTCATCTAAATTGTCCTGTAATTTAAATAGTTACTTCTGATGTCATTGCATTAGACACTGTAGAGCAGTGGTTCTCAAACGTTTTACAACTCAGAAAATATTTGGCTCTCCAAGTGCCACCATAAGGACCGATATTAAATACAGTGGCGTCGTAGGCCTAACTATTCAGCTACAGTCATACAGGCCGGCAGTTTTAGCCCTAATAAGAATATTTATTACTGTCAGCCACTTTAAACATTGTAAATGCACAGGTTGAACATTATCACTGCACTGTGCTGCTTATATACAGGTAAATAAAAACATAAATAATGATGTACTGTACCTAAAAGTGGTTTTTAGGTACAGCTCACACGAGCTCTTCCTCTCTCCAGCTCCAAATAAATCACAATTTATTGTAGTTCGTTCGAGTCATAATTCGTAATACCTTTTAATGAATCTGTCTGAGATCGAATTAATGCTAGATGTTCTGATTTAAATTACAGACATGGCATCTGAGGAATATTTCAAATTTTTCCTCAGTTATTTCGCTTTATTTCCTGATTCATACATAAGCTTGTTAAATCATAAACTTGCGACCATAGTTGGCTAACAATGCTTCTTGGAAACACACCCCTGATCCGCACTTCTCTTGCCAGATTGAAGCCACAATAGCAGTTTCGTTGAACTTTGCGTAATTTCATCATCCACCAGTAAAATCAATATTTAATTCAGTGATTCCCCTGTGCACCACTAGAGGGCGCCTGCATTTGGGATTCAGTGCTGTCGAGACATCAAACATCTAAAGAACATCTAATGTTGAAATAAAGGGAAGAGGTTACATTAAACCCCTACAAGTACTTGGTCAGTTCAAGAAAAATTCATGCAATTGTACATTATTTATTTAAAAGAACCATTTCCATCTTTGTATTGTTCAACTGGTCGAGGTTGACATGGGATTGAAAGTAGTAATAATACTTTTAAAAGAGCATAACTAGAACAGTACACTAAATACACTCTTGAAGTTGTGATTAGTAGCTAGTAATTCATTACGTTTTAAGAGTAACTTCCCCAACACTGAAGCTGAGGTAAAGTTTGAACATGTGAATGTAAGACGCCACCAATTCACCTCAAGAGATTAAAACAGAGGTCAAGCCGTGATCATTTTATAAGACTGTGTGTCCCAAGAAACCCAAAAAGACTAGTTTTATCATTTCAGACCAGATCATTTCAGTATTCGGTGAAACCTCTCAGGTAGGGCTGCACGATTCATTTTGTTTTAATCATCATAACCACATCGGCTGCTCTCGATTCATTAAAAAGAATCGTCGCAATATTGGCCCGCTGGTTATTTATCTTGCATTGGTAACAAGCCATTACAAGCGTTCATGTTTGAGGTTACCAGATGTCAAGAGTTAAAATCCCCCCAGATGTTTTCTCTAAAGAGGATACGACTTATGCCAGGTGTATTACTGAATCTCTGCAATCTTGCAATCTCTCTCTCTCTCTACACTGGCGCCGATGATCTGATAACACGATCTTCATTGAGATGCTCAAATGACAGTGTGATACAATAGCCAGTCTGTGAATCTGTCTTCATGAGCCCTCTTGTGCGGTTTGTGTGACTAAATCTGCCAGTGATCTGTAATACATCCAAACGTCTTATTAGTGAACAGCTGCGTTATCAAGAATTTCATAACCAGCATGGTCTAATGATGATCAGAGCTAAATTTGGTGAAAATCTGATGAAAAAGGTGTTATGAAAATCTTCAATGACACACCAATACTTTGAAAAATACAGCGCTTTTATGGCAAACAGCCGACGCTAAAGGAAAACTGGGTAATTGATCGGTCACACAGAATCTACAGAGAGCAGTGGTTTTAGGAGAAATGTTACAGAAGTTTCAGTTTCAGATGACCCGTAGGTGGCGCTGTGATGAAACTGCTCAGGTACCCTCAGCTCATGGTTGTCATTATACACACCAAGTTTGGCCTCAATACGTTAAGGCGTCGTGAAGATACAGCCTCGTGTCCATTATGGCGTGCTGGTCGGCAAATAATCTGCGCATTATCCAAGGTTGGTTTGAACAACTTGAACAACAACTTTTTGTCAGCATGTTTTTTTAAGTTGATCTGATAAATGTTTTGTAAAAATAAATCTGACAGATGGTCTAAGAGGATTTTTGATAAAGTACATGTTCAAAATACCACAAAATTATGGGTCACACTTTAAATTAGGTGTCTTCCATCAAAAACCTTAATCTTTAGGTACAATGTGCTTATTGTGTTCATGTTGTAATGCAAAGCGGGTACGATCAGGACAGGCTTGGTGGTTAGAGTAGGTTTAACGGGTACGGTCAGGACAGGTTTGGTGGTTTGAGTAGGTTTAACAGGTACGGTCAGGACAGGCTTGGTGGTTTGAGTAGGTTTAACGGGTACGGTCAGGACAGGCTTGGTGGTTTGAGTAGGTTTAACAGGCACGGTCAGGACAGGCTTGGTGGTTTGAGTAGGTTTAACGGGTACAGTTAGGACAGGCTTGGTGGTTTGAGTAGGTTTAACGGGTACGGTCAGGACAGGCTTGGTGGTTTGAGTAGGTTTAACGGGTACGGTGAGGACAGGCTTGGTGGTTTGAGTAGGTTTAACGGGTACGGTGAGGACAGGCTTGGTGGTTTGAGTAGGTTTAACGGGTACGGTGAGGACAGGCTTGGTGGTTTGAGTAGGTTTAACGGGTACGGTCAGGACAGGCTTGGTGGTTTAAATAGGTTTAACGGGTAAGGTCAGGACAGGCTTGGTGGTTTTAGTAGGTTTAATGGGTACGGTCAGGACAGGCTTGGTGGTTTGAGTAGGTTTAACGGGCACGGTCAGGACAGGCTTGGTGGTTTGAGTAGGTTTAACGGGTACGGTCAGGACAGGCTTGGTGGTTTGAGTAGGTTTAACGGGTACGGTCAGGACAGGCTTGGTGGTTTGAGTAGGTTTAACGGGTACGGTCAGGACAGGCTTGGTGGTTTGAGTAGGTTTAACGGGTACGGTCAGGACAGGCTTGGTGGTTTGAGTAGGTTTAACGGGTATGGTCAGGACAGGCTTGGTGGTTTGAGTAGGTTTAACGGGTACGGTCAGGACAGGCTTGGTGGTTTGAGTAGGTTTAACGGGTACGGTCAGGAGAGGCTTGGTGGTTTGAGTAGGTTTAACGGGCACGGTCAGGACAGGCTTGGTGGTTTGAGTAGGTTTAACGGGTACGGTCAGGAGAGGCTTGGTGGTTTGAGTAGGTTTTAACGGGTACGGTCAGGAGAGGCTTGGTGGTTTGAGTAGGTTTAACGGGCACGGTCAGGACAGGCTTGGTGGTTTGAGTAGGTTTAACGGGTACGGTCAGGACAGGCTTGGTGGTTTGAGTAGGTTTAACGGGTACGGTCAGGACAGGCTTGGTGGTTTGAGTAGGTTTAACGGGTAAGGTCAGGACAGGCTTGGTGGTTTGAGTAGGTTTAACGGGTACGGTCAGGACAGGCTTGGTGGTTTGAGTAGGTTTAACGGGTACGGTCAGGACAGGCTTGGTGGTTTGAGTAGGTTTAACGGGTACGGTCAGGACAGGCTTGGTGGTTTGAGTAGGTTTAACGGGTAAGGTCAGGACAGGCTTGGTGGTTTGAGTAGGTTTAACGGGTACGGTCAGGACAGGCTTGGTGGTTTGAGTAGGTTTAACGGGTAAGGTGAGGACAGGCTTGGTGGTTTGAGTAGGTTTAACGGGTACGGTCAGGACAGGCTTGGTGGTTTGAGTAGGTTTAACGGGTACGGTCAGGACAGGCTTGGTGGTTTGAGTAGGTTTAACGGGTACGGTCAGGACAGGCTTGGTGGTTTGAGTAGGTTTAACGGTGGGTTAAGGTGTTAGGAAAGGGTCAACAGTGTAATAATAGATGTAGATTACAGAAATTAATTACAGCTGTATTTACATGCAGGTATTTTTAAAATATAAGTACAATGTAAAATTGTGTATATTCATGTTAAGTGTATTGTTTCAAATTATTAACTTAAATGTTAGTGCATAGCCGTTTAAGACACCAAAGATAAAATGGGACCAAATTATCAAATCATAGAGTGCAATGGACTTTGCATGGGAAACAATTTTGTTTCAAGGCCTCAAGTTTGGTGTCTCCATCTCCAAAAGCTGTGGTACTAGAAATTTGAGATTGTAAATTTTGCTGTAGTAAATGTCTAACTGTGTGGCAAATTTCATAACTTTCTTATTCACTGTTCTTTGGGCTGCCATAGACTCAAGAGCAAAAGAAGAAAACTAATCGACTAATAAAACGGTAACGCTTCCTTTTACAGTACAGTACTTACGTGTACTTACAGTGTACTTACCTAGAAAGTACTGGCTAATATAAGGTAAGTACATGGGTTAGGGGTAGGTTTAGGGGTAGGTTCAGGGTTAGTACCTAGTTATTACCCAGTAATTATAATTACTATAATAAGTACATAGTAAGTACATGGGTAACAGGACTGTAAAAGGAAGCGTTACCAATAAAACTTAGTCTAAGTCCAAAGTAAACCTTGAGTTTGTGTTTTGTTGCACTCACCCTCCTGACATACTGCTCTCCAGTGAGGGAGAACTCCACGCCGTTGATCTGGAAGGACACTACAGGAAGACTCTTGATCCTGGCACAGTCTAACAGATACTAAACCCCACAAACAAACAAGCAAGCCTTCAGCGTTCATCAACATCAGAGAAGTCACCTGATAATCGTTCACTGAGGATAACCGTTCCATCGGAGCGGTGTTGTACTCACCTCTCCGGACGCGGTAGGTGTTGCTCCGAGGACCTGCTGGAGGATCATGATGTCTCTGGCTGGGCCGCCGATCAGAGACGTTCCCGTGTCCACTACAGCTTGACAGCCATGATTACTGCGATGGCAGAAACTCAGAGCTCCCTGAACCTTCACACTAGACACAACAAACACACTTATTTCTGCCGTCTTTGTGAAATGAGCGTCTTTAATGGAGGCGAACTCACTCACACATCTAATCTGATCTGCCAGTAGCCCTTCTGAGTGACCGGAGCCCAGATGATGGGAGGAACGAACCGCGTTTCATCCACTCCTCCGAACAGCAGCTCCCCTCCCAAGCCTGAGTCGCCGTTCCTGAACGGGACATATGGTCAACTCTAACTCTTAAAAAAAAATCACTTTTGCACATTATAGTGGTGGACATACGGGGTGGTGATGGCGCAGTGGATAAGACACATGCCTTTGGTGTGAGAGACCCGGGTTCTAATCCACTGTGAGACACCAATGTGTCCCTGAGCAAGACACTTAACCCCTAGTTGCTCCAGAGGCGTGCGACCTCTGACATATATAGCAATTGTAAGTTGCTTTGGATAAAAGCATCCGCTAAATGAATAAATGTAAATGTATAGTACTTATCAAAAGGATAAATGAACATGAATGTGAGAATGTCTCTGCGGGGTGACATGTAGAAAACCTGTCGTTCATGTTCATGAACGAGACGCCAGCTGACTTGTGATTGCCGAATCCAAACGTAGTGCTTATATGAACGCTAAATAAAGTGATCGGTTGATGTGCGCATTTATATGTCACAAGCTTCTAATCTGGCTTAATCTTTCGACATGCGCTCACTGCACGAATATAGCGTTTCCTCGCATACTAACCATCCTTCCTTTTCTTCGTTTTAACATGCAGACTTAATATCGGTTTCATGTTCTAATAAGGAGGCGACAAGCACACAAAGCTTTGTGCCATGATGCTTATCAAGCAGTAAAAACACCCATTCCCACACCCAAAACAAGGCGTTGTCCGGCTCCACCTAGAGATAAGTGGATAGAGAATTTTATTAATATTCATTTATTATATTTAACAACATCAGCTTGTTCCATGCATCAGATATCATTACGCCATTTCTACGTCACTGCAAATGCACAAAAATTTCCAGTTTCGGTTTTCAATCCGATCAAGTGTTTACATTTCCTATTTCAGTCGGATTGGGCATTTTTATTCCGATGGAAGTGTGAGGATTTTCATTCGGATTGGATTGAGGATTGTAACTGGAATACGCACCTATTTATCCAGGACTGTTTTCTGTTGAATAGAGCAGCAACACAAGTCCCTCCCCTGATGAATAATAGTGAGCGGCGTCTCATTCCCTCTTTCAGGGAACCTAAGGCCCTGTTTACACTAGAGCGTTTTCGTTTTAATACGCATAACTTCGGCTACGGTTACGCCTGGCGTCACACTACTCCAGAGTTTTCAACCTTTGAAAACGGAGAGTTTTGGAAACGCTGCAGACCCCGAATCTGGGGTTGTGTTTCACTGTAGACGCCGGACCAAAATGAATCGAAGGTAGATTTACCGATTTACCGAACGTAAATCCTGGGTTTACGTTTGGTAAATCTGGCCCTTAATCCATACAGGCTTCAGACATTCCCATAGCGTCAGAGTCTGATTTAAAAAAGCATCAAAGTGTGGATCTGTAAGTGATGTTTTCCTACTTGAGATAGAAGGAGAAGACGGGCTCATCCAGCAGGCCTTGCGCCATCATGCTGTCGAACACAGGAGAGCCGAGCTCCTCTGCCAGCTGAGGGAAACCCAGACCCAGAACCCCGTCAAACTGAGCCAGGACGAAAGTGAAGCCCGGCTCGTACACAGCCTCGCCGAACACCTGATTCTGGACGGTCATAGAGCCCACCTGAACCCAAACAACATATTTGAATACAATAAAGCTCTTGACGAACTGAGGTTACGATTGAATCCACATCATGAAGGCCAAACCATTTCAGAAATGGCCTTTTATGGCTGAGTGTGAGCGGATACCCTCAGCTGTTCTCTGGCCATCACTCCCAGAAGGTGACCGGAGCCGTAATGGATGCCGAAGACTCGTCCGTCGTGTGCGTACGTGCTCGATTCAAAGGCCTTGAACTTGTGGTGCATCGCTGTGTAAACAAAAGCCAGGTCACTTCATCAGCATACGGCAGGTCACACATGAAGCCCGGGTGAATGTGTGTGTGTGTTAGTTACCGCACGCTTGGCTCACGCATTTGGACGACGGGACCCAGAGGTCAGAGGATCCCGTGTCAAACACCACCGTGAAGTTCTGCTCCGGTTTACCCAGACTGATCTGACCGAAGAACTGCGCCTTCACAACACATGATTCAAAGCCCGTGTCAGTCTTAATCTTTGGCCTTTTTAAAATAATTACTACTTTATTCTACAAAGATGCATTAAATGGATCAAAAGTGACAGTAAACATTTATTTTCAAATAAATGCTGTTCTTTTGAACTTTCAAATCATTTAAGAATGCTGAAAAAATGTATCACGGTTTCCACAAAATATGAAACGCTTTTCAACACTGATAATAATCATAAATGTTTCTTGAGCATCAGATCATCATATTAGAGTGATTTCTGAAGGATCATGTGACACTGAAGACTGGAGTAATGATGCTGAAATTCAGCTTTGATCACAGGAATAAATTACACTTTACTATATATTATATTATATACTATATATTCACATAGAAAAAAGCTGATTTACATTATAATTATATTTCAGCTTATTTTCATTTAAATACATTTTAAATAAATGCAGTTGAAAAAATAAAAATCAGCCAAAACAATTCTTACCGACCAAACTTTTGAGTTGCATTTATTCCATATCTCTATAAATATATCAATTTTAGTTGATAGTGTATTATTTAAATTACTTAAATTCTGCCATTGTTATGCATAAATCCTGTGACTAGCATATTTCCCATCTTTTAAATTAAATATATTGTTTGTTCAATAAATAAGAAAAAGTCATGGTGTCATGATGCTTTGAAGACGTGAATTTGTAAATAATAATTTAACACCTGCTGTTTTTCACCAGTTAAGAAGGGATGAAGAGCGTCTTAAAAGGTCAACCCTCATGATTTAAAGTAAACAGCTGATAGTTCGAAACATCCGCACTAAATTCCCTTTCTGTTATTAAACTACACCGGTCGTCCCCATTACCGTCAAACCCCGTCACCCCAGACAGAGACATAGTGTCGGCCTACATCTGGTACACGTGGAATCCACACACTATTGGCGCTCTTCCAACACACACCAGATGTGGTCCGGACACCATGTCGCCGTCTGGGACCCTTCTGAACACATGCGTTCACGGGTCTAAAACTGCCCAGTCGAGGCTGGCGTTTGAAGGGATGAGGGTTAGAGCGAGTGCCAGCAGAGGAACACAGATCTCGGCTCACGTCCATGAAGTTGTAGAGCCTCTCAGTGGCTCTGCCGCCCGTGCGCAGGAAGTGTTGAGCGGCCGGGAAACACTGGGCGTAGCGCCGGTCGAAGGCGTCCGGCTCGTGCTCGCGCAGGAACTCCTCCAGCTGGCCAGCGGCGCGCAGGCGACCTCGCACCGGGGGCGCGCGACTCAACGGGACCCTGGGACGGCACAACAACTCATCACGACCAGAAATTACTTAAGAATCACGGCATTCCGTGGCTTAATATTTGTACAGTATCTGTGTTAAATTCACAATTTCTTTGATTTCAGAAGTGACTACAAAAGCCTTTTTACATTTGGGAAACAAAATGTTCTGGTGACACTTTACAAAAGGTTCATTAGTTAATGTATTTACTAACATGAACCATGAGGAATACATTTGTTACTGTATTTTTTTAATCTTCATAATTTCAGAAGTGACTACAAAGCCTTTTTAAATTTGGTTAAAGAAAAGGTTTTCTTTATGAAATCATGCTTAATTATTTCTCCCACAGCATAAAGGAGTCATTCACATACTAGAGTAAAAACATATTTAGTTTTTCTACAGAATAGTTGAAACCATTTCTTAATATTGCAGCTAAAATCAGTTATCGCAGTTAAAACCATGGCTAATTTTGTAGTCACTATGGCTTTACTACAATTATGTGGTAAAACCATGATTGTTTTTAATAGTTACTTTGATTTTACTGCAAAAACCATGGCTGAAACACTCAAAATAGATCATTCCTGGGCATTTATTGAAGTAATAATGAGCAGGTCAGCCCGTTTGTAATCAGAAAATGCGTGTGGTTCTTACCTCACCAGACTGTGAACGAAGCCCAGAAGCCCCAGCAGGATCAGCCCGGTCCTCATGTTGCTCTCCACCGAACGCTCACTCAGAGCCCCGGCGACTGCAGCTGAGGTTTAAATGCAGAGGTCGGGTCACCGCGGCCCTTCACGTGTTGATTTAACCCTCAGCAAACAGACCATGAGATCTTAGGACACGTGCACACGTAAAACATCTAACATCTCTGTGCTTTCATACAGTTCTCTGAACTGATGCTTATTCCCCAAAACTAAACAGGAATTCAGCACTTGTGTGTTTGCACAGGACACGTTCAAAGGAAAAGACCATCGCAATGCTCACAACATGAAAACTAGTAGTACGCAAGAAGCTGAAGATGTTCATCTCCTGAGAACCAGACGTCCAGCTTGCAAATGAGGAGCATCACAGATCCAACGGGATTCAGTTCATTGTATTTAGGACAGTGTTGGGAACGTTACTTTAAAAAAGTAATTATAGTTACTCACACCTTGTTCCCAAAAGTAACTGAGTTAGTAACTGAATTACTCTATAATAAAAGTAACTCTTTACCAGGGAAAGTAACTATTTGCGTTACTGTTAAAAAAAAGTTGCTATATGTCAAAGAATTTGGATTTTTTTTTAGCAGTTTTCACAAGTCAGTTGAAATGAGTAGAACAGACAGGTGTTTGTACGTAACTTTTGATATTTATTGCACGTCGACAGACAGCAAGAGGTTTATCCTGCACCTCAAGTATTATCTTTGTAAGAAAAGTAAACAGTTACACCATATAAAGTGCATTTAACTCTAGCGAATTAAATCAAACTCTCTCAACCTGAGACAACTGGTCAAGTTAACAACCTGTACTTCCAAGTGTTTTGTTCACAACAAAAGTAAACTTTTAAACTACAAATTCTTAATTAAATAAATCAAACTCCCAATGTCAGACAACTGGTCTGGTAGACATTCTGTACTTCAAGTATTTTCTTCAAAAGTTAACAGTTAAATAATATAAAGTGTGTTTGCAGTAACTGTAGCAAATTAAATAAATCTCTAACAACCTGAGATAAATAGTCTGGAAGACATAGGCTGCTGTATTTCTTTATATTCATTAAAAAAGTAAACAGTTTAACAAGATGGAGTGCTTTTAAAGATTGAACTTTAGCTCCTAGATGAGATATAGCTGTATCTATATATAGGGACACGTTTGTGTGCATTTTATTTTGTGATTTCACCGGAATGAATAGTCTCCGCAACGGCGATAGATTGAAGCGCGCGTCCGAGTGAAGACTGCGCGCGCCGCGAGCCACAAGAGCACAACTGTATCCATGACACTGATCGCAGCAGCACGAGCGCTCAGCTGGATCTCAAAAACAACAGATTTAAGCGCTAGATCTCTTATTTAACCCTCTGGGGTCCTTCGGCCCAAATGGACCCGAAGCATTTAAATTTTTTTTATTTAAAAATCATAGCTTTATCGGAATGGTCCGAAATTTGGTGACTTTGTTGGTACTTGGTATATGAACACCCAAAAAAATTGGGGACAGGATTTGAATAGTCTAAGTGGTTGTAAAAAAAATAGTCACACTCAGGACCTTCGGGTCCAAATGGACCCGCATAGGAAATGAATGGGAAATTGGCAAAAATGTGAAAATACAGAGTTTTTTTGTGTGTACAATCTACAAATCAGCCACGATCCAGAAAAAAAGCACACAACAGTGAAGGGGTGAATCTATAAAACATCAAGAGTGCAAAACAGACACATCCACACACACACAAACACACTTTTATACACATACACACTAATAAATTCAGATTACATATGGGTTTTGAATTTTTAAAATGCTCAGTTTGTCCACCAGATGGCATCCATCTCATTTCAAAAATTGCTTTCATGAGGCCTAGGGTTGACTCTAAAATGTAATACAGCTTTAAAAAAAAAAAAAACATTTTCTATTATATTCAATGGGGAAAAAAATGGGTCATAATTATTGCATTAATATTAATTATAAATCAGTTTTATATTTGAAATTATCTCAAAACACCAAAAAAGAAAAGAAAAAATATTATAAAAAACAAGTAAAAAATAATAATAAAGTAAAAAAATTTATAAATATTAATCCCACCCTTCCAGCCCATTTGGACCCGAAGGTCCTGAGTGTGACTCTGAAATGAAGGACCCCAGAGGGTTAATAGAGAACTAAATGAATGCTCTGCTAGTTAACTGGATATGTTTTATTTATTTGTATTAGGTATCCGTTCTATGACATTAGTATATTTTTTACTAACCGTATATTTACGTATATTGCGTCGTTGTACCCAGCACTTCCGAATGCGTCTCTGTCCCCCACACATTTCAAACCAAACTGACGCCCATGAATCAACGCATAGTAACGCACCGCATTTAACGTCCAGTAACGTTAACGGCGTTGTAACGACGGAAAAAGTAATTAGTTAGATTACCCCGTTACTGAAAAAATAACGTCGTTATTCCAAACACTGATTTAGGATTAGTAGAAAGATATCATAGGTTTATGCATGACCTACAAAAGGTATACTCAGCCAAAAAATAAACCTCTCGATTTAAACTGATTCCCCTCCCCCCACCCCAGCAAATTTCTAAATGTGTAAATATTTGTATGGACATAAAAAGATTCAGAAACCAAGACAAACTGAAGCGGTTTCACAGACAAACTCTGAATATGTAGAGCTTCTTTACAGCAGATTCGTCTCTCATCATTGGTCGAGTTGTTTTCCCTCTGTCCCAGCGTATGAAGCGCTGCAGAAATAAAGCTGACTGGACTTGGCAAGAGACTCCAACACAACAGGCTTGTTTGATCATGACAGTTTTATTGAGTAAACAAAAGGTGAAAAGCCAGTGCTGACATTCAGACATGCTGGAGAAGTGCATCGGCACAAGAACTACAGAACAAAGAGAATCCGCTTCCGGTCAATAAATACACGGGCCGCTAGCGGTGTGTGTTCAGCAGGGGTGATGATCCGGCACACGCTTCCTGAAACACAACACACACACACACACGTTAAACACACCTCAACCACCCCTCAGCCGAGTCTTCTGCACCGTTACTGGACTCAACACTACACTGACTTCATCACACACTCGTCTGGTCAGAGCTGCTCCTCATATTTCATGTAGTTTGCATCATTTATCTAGATTTTCACCCAAAGTTGAGCAAAATTAAAATATGCAGTCCTTGCAGAAAAACAGTTTTTTGTGATTGTTGCGGGCAAAAATCCTTGATTATGCGGCCCGTTTTCTTTAAAAATCCGATGAAATTGCGGGAACTTGCAAAAACTGCGGTTTGATGAAAAAGAGAAAAAAAGTGATTCCCCAACACCCTGTTCTCACCAGGCTACTACCTTAATGTAAAGAGTCCTTTCTTATTACTTCCTATGATAAGCAAGCATACTACATCACAGAAAGTGCTGGAATATTTAATTTCTCATCTTGTTTTATTTCAGACTGTAACGAGTGGAAATAAGGTGTGGCCCCTTTAAGAGCTGCGCGCTCCCTGTCTAACTGCAGTAACGTTATTATATTGTATGTGCGCCTCGAACACCCCATGTGTGCGGGTAATCTCTGTTTGATGCTACCACTTTTATCTTATTTTGTTTATTAAGTAACGATGTGGACGGTAGAACGTGTGACAGACAGTTATACGAGTTCGATTTGGGAATAAAGTGCGAGTTGTCTCCGTGAGTCTGTCTGGACTCTGCCATAACTTCAGCTGTGAGCTATCCCTATTTTTCCTTAATAAAAGACCTTAATAAACACATCAAACTTACAAAACATTGATGAGTCAAACAAGTTCTGTAGCTTTACTAAAGGAATATGCTACAACTTCAGTAAAAAATGAATAAATTAAATATTTAAAAAATAAAGTGTGCTCCTGTTTTACAGCTTTTCAATGATGTTCACGTCGCGTAATTACGCCACTTCATAACGTTCCCATGGCAACAGGGGGAAACGGCGGCTCTTGTGTGAAGCAAACGCAACATTTTTCAACTTTCTGCTGAGATATATGTGACTTTTTTGCGACGAAAATGTGAGGATTATGAAATCATGCAAGCCCCGCATATTTTGGGCGGAAATCGGCAATTTATGCGGCGAAAGTGCGGCGTATTTGAAAAAATGCCCCCGCATAAATATGCAGACTTTGGCTGATTATGCACTAAATCATGCATAAAACATCGTCACTTCCTCTGAAATTGGTGCAAAATATTGAATAAAAATGGAAGTAACCCATCATAAAGGAGCTTGTGCCTCGGAGCGTCAAATGAAACGGTCCCGTTCTCTAGCGTTCAGAGACTTTTGCTCAGGCGTTTCAGAACGACCAAAGCTACATCTGAGATGCTGCGATGCGATTGGTCCGCTGGTTAGTCCAGTCATCCAATCACATCTACAGCTGAGGCAGTTTGTGTTGCGCACCCAGGGATTTATTCTGTATAACTGTTTTCATCGTAGTTTGTGCGCATCTTATCAGATAAAACAATATGTGCCTCAATTAAGTTTGTGCATTTTTAGAATATAAGCACATAATGTGACGTTTTAACATTTCTTTATCATACTTTTTCAAGTCAATGTAAACAGGTCGGGTATGGGATGGGGTTTTTTTTTGGTAAAGAGACATCTGTAAGATTGTAAATTCATCTTTAAAAAAATGTTTTGTCTTCCAATTAAACAAACTTATCAAAAAAAAAAAAAGAATAAGCACATTTTGGCATTTCCATCAGCTAATAATGGTGTCATGTTCCTGCTCATCCCTGTGAGCCGCTTTGACACACAGTGTGCTGTATAAATGCAGCTGTGAGCACTGACCTGGGAGCAGCTTTGATGATGTTGTCCACGCGCAGGATCATCTCGGCCGCCTCGGCTGCGCTCAGCAACACCTGCCTCTTCACCTGGAAGCTCTCGGTGATGCCCAGCTCCGCCATGTCTCCCACGCAGCCCTGGGTCATGTCTGCAGACGGCACGGGTCACAGGTCAGAGCAGAGGCGCGGGCTACCCTCACATCAGCCGAGTGAGTGTGTGTGTGTGTGTCTTACCCAGGCCGAAAGTGATCTTGTTGTCCTGGTGGGCGGCTCTCAGCTGGGACACCAGCTCTGCGCTGTCATATCCTGCGTTATCAGCGATGATGGTGGGAAGCTGCAACAACAAACAGCCTTAAAGCTTGAAACGGACGCCCATACACACTCAGAAACTAACACCCATACACACTCAGAAACTAACACATGCTTGATTGATGCCCAGATTAACTAATAAATACCCCAATACTCCAGATGCAGGGCCACAAAAAGCCTTCACACATACATTTACATCATGTGATATCGTTTTCCCCCAATATCAGCACGACTGCAAACGGCTCAATACACAACATGTTAATAGTGACTGACATTTTAGACAATAGTGTCAGTTTTTGCTCTTTACGCCAATAGAAATAGCAAATCAGTTGAGTGAATGATTCATCAGGTCACACATTAAAGCAGCGACTCGCTTCTTTTCAGAATGAATCAGTGTTTTGAAACAAATCTGTCGAGTGAATGATTTAAAAGACCCGTTCTTACAGACAGCGGCTCTATCTGACATTGCATACTTCCCTTTAATATAGTAGGCAAAAAACAGTCTGTAAAAATGTGTAGTGTCCAAATCCACAGTAGGTTCACCCACTCTGAAGGCTAACTAACCCCTGAGGCAACAGGAGAGGATTCGCCAATGCATGACAGTATAACTATACAAATAATGCTAGTAGGTCACATGACTGAGCAACATGATGGTTGTAATAACTTAATCTTTGAGTAGGTACTTCTTTTGGATTTGCAATTTTGGATGCAGGCAGTCTCTTGCTGAATTCCTGAATGAATCCATGTATGCGAACGAATCGGTTGAGTGAATAATTCAACGACTCACTGAAGACTTGAGGAATCGGTTGAGTCAATTATTCAACGACTCACTAATTAAAGGCTTTGAACGAATTGACAATTCAACGACTCACTAATTAAAGGCTTTGGAGGAATCGGTTGAGTGAATAATTCAACGACTCACTAATTAAAGACTTGAGGAATCAGTAGAGTGAATAATTCAACGACTCACTAATTAAAGACTTGAGGAATCGGTTGAGTGAATAATTCAACGACTCACTAATTAAAGACTTGAGGAATCGGTTGAGTAAATTATTCAACGACTCACTAATTAAAGACTTGAGGAATCGGTTGAGTAAATTATTCAACGACTCACTAATTAAAGGCTTTGAACGAATTGATAATTCAATGACTCACTAATTAAAGACTTTGAACGAATTGATAATTCAACGACTCACTAATTAAAGACTTAAGGAATCGGTTGAGTCAATTATTCAACAACTCACTAATTAAAGACTTGAGGAATCGGTTGAGTAAATTATTCAACGACTCACTAATTAAAGACTTGAGGAATCGGTTGAGTAAATTATTCAACGACTCACTAATTAAAGACTTGAGGAATCGGTTGAGTGAATAATTCAACGACTCACTAATTAAAGACTTGAGGAATCGGTTGAGTGAATAATTCAACGACTCACTAATTAAAGGCTTTGAACGAATTGATAATTCAATGACTCACTAATTAAAGACTTTGAACGAATTGATAATTCAACGACTCACTAATTAAAGACTTAAGGAATCGGTTGAGTCAATTATTCAACAACTCACTAATTAAAGGCTTTGAACGAATTGATAATTCAATGACTCACTAATTAAAGGCTTTGAACGAATTGACAATTCAACGACTCACTAATTAAAGACTTTGAACGAATTAGTGAATAATTCAACGACTCCCTAATTAAAGGCTTTGAACGAATTGACAATTCAACGACTCACTAATTAAAGACTTCCAACGAATCAGTGAATAATTCAACGACTCACTAATTAAAGACTTTGAACGAATCAGTGAATAATTCAACGACTCACTAATTAAAGACTTTGAACGAATCAGTGAATAATTCAACGACTCACTAATTAAAGACTTTGAACGAATCAGTGAATAATTCAACGACTCACTAATTAAAGACTTGAGGAATCGGTTGAGTCAATTATTCAACAACTCACTAATTAAAGGCTTTGAACGAATTGACAATTCAACGACTCACTAATTAAAGACTTCCAACGAATCAGTGAATAATTCAACGACTCACTAATTAAAGGCTTTGAACGAATTGATAATTCAAGGACTCCCTAATTAAAGACTTTGACAACTTCTGGTGGTTTTAGTTTCACATGATTTCCTTTTTTCCGATGATTTATGCATTATGTGATTGTAATTGCCTACAAATATGATGCATATATTTAATAAGTTAAGAAAACTCATAAAGGTAAAACTACACATGGAAACCAGTCCAGGGGAGTAATATCTCCTTCAGCAGAAGTAAACTCGCATCCCTGTGCTGCCGCTCTCTGAACAGCCAGATATCAGCTGACGTGACGCACCATCATCAGGGCTTTAGCGAAGGACTCCATGGCCACGGCCTCTTTGCCTGGCGTCCGGTTGGCCAGATCTGACACCACTCTGGCCATCAGCATCTCAGAGCATCCTGAAACACACACACACACACACACGCGGCGTGAGAGCGAGTCTCAGCACACACTGGTCAGAGAGAGAGAGCCGCTGGCGTCCTGTACTGACCTCCACCGAACACGGTGCGCGTCTCTTTGACGGTCTGCGACAGCACACACAGGGCGTCGTGCAGCGAGCGCTCGGCCTCGTCCAGGATCTGCTGGGTCGCCCCGCGCAGGACGATGGTGCACGCCTCTCCTGCTCATGGGGAACACAGCAATAATTACTACAGATACAGCGATGCCAACAAACCAAGACTCAAGGGCTTCCTGTGGTTTTCCACCGAAACAAAAGCTTGACATTTATAAACAGAAATGAGTCTGAATTCTTCTAGAGTTTGCCCAGCACGTACCCATGTCCACTCCTGAGAAGTGAATGAGCATGTCTTCTCCGATCATCACTTCCTCGATCAGCTTACAGTGGCCGATCTTCACCAGCTCAGGATGGTCAAAGGTAGACGTGATCTCACCGCCTGCACAAACAAAGAGTGCTAGCTGAAACCACAGTGCGCTAATCTGTCTGATCGGGTAACGAGTCACACACAGCGGTGCACACTGGGATAGTTTTCACAGCGGTGTGTTTGTGTACCTGTGACGAGGGCCAGGCGCTCCACTCCTGCGAAATCAGCGTGTTCGATGGCCATCACGCCGGCGGCGGCAAACAGCTGCTCAGGGTAGTTATAGATCAGCTGCCTGAGGACCGACAACACACACACACTCATCCACGAGTCTGGCCAAAACAACCATACTAAAGATACATCAGAGTGTTTAAAGTGGTAATGTTGCTCTGCGCGTTCGCTCCGTAGCTGCTACGAGACACTACAGGAAGCTAGATCTAATTTGGTATGATATGTGATTGCGACTGCAGCGGAAATGCCTAAATGCACACATTTCATAAGATTAGAAAAAGCTGTCCTTATAAACGGAAAGATTCAGACTTTCCCCGCCGCTACATCAGTCGCTGGAGGAAACACTCGAGGCACCTGTTGATGAAGCAGTTGATGCCGTGCTTGAGGATGCGCTCCACCTTCTCCTTCATCTTCTCCTTCTCGGCCATCTCGATCTCGGCCACCTTGGCTGTGGAGTCCACGCGCACCCTGGAGCCGAAGATCTGCGGGACACACACACACACACACACACTCACGTCACTCGTGCTAATGGTGCACACTCACGTCAGTGCCTGAACGAGGCCGTACCTTGATCTTGTCCGTGTCCATGCCGGTGTTGGCGATGAGGATGTTGGCGTTCTCGATCCTCTTGGGCTGGTTCACTCCGATCCTCTTGTCCAGCAGGAAGCCTATGACGAACCAGAGCGGTCACATGACGCATGAACTCTACTCGTGTGCCGCCTTCTGATTGGCTGATCCACACACCGTTAACCAATCGCACAACTTTCACAGATCAATGAAACACCTGTTGTTAATAATGTGTTTGTAAAGTATCAGTATTTAAGATAATGAATATAAAACTATGAGACCTAGTGATATGTTTTGCAATTTTGTACACAAGTAATAAATCAATATGACACGTATATGATGAGGGAAATTATATTTATAGAAAGATTAAAACACCCATTATTTAATTAAGGCCATTTTAAAGACTACTCAAAACATTAAAACTCTGCCATAATAAAAAAATCAATAATTTTAAATGTTCAAATACAGAGTGCTTAATTTTTTTATAGGTGAATATAAAAATGCATATAGGTGTAATTTATATGGGTGAACAACTAGTAATTTATACTGGTGTTGAATCATCAGATTATTATTATTTAAAGGGATAGTTCACCCAATAATGTACTCACGCTCAAGCCACCCTGGGAGTATTTGACTTTTCTTTCAGCCAAACACAATCTGAATTATATTAAAATATGTCCTAGCTAATCCAACATTTATAATGGCAGTGGATGGGAGGCCAAAGGGATAAAGGCCTTCTGATGCGTTAGCGTGAGCAAAATGCCCATATTTAAAACGTTTATAGCTATAATAACTAGCTTTCGTCTGAAAGAAGAATGTCATGTACACCTAGGATGGCTTAAGGCTGAGTGAATCATGGGCTAATTCTCATGTTTGGGTGTTCAGACCAGCTGCCCGTGTCACACACACCTTCGTCCAGGTAGGAGTCGAGGAGCTGTCCGCCCAGCTTCTTGATGACGTGGATGGCCTCCAGGTTCCCGGAGCCCTTGAGCCGCATCACGGCCTGCACCGCCAGCCGGGCGAAGTGGTCCTTGTGGTGCGTCAGCAGCTTGGAGGAGAGCGTGGTGCGCGCGATGTTCAGCAGGTCCACCTGGAACTTCTGCTCGTCGTTCCTGAGGAGAAACACACACACACACGAGCTCACGTCCAGCGCCTCACTGGTCACACACTCACACTGGGGGCGGAACGGGTTCGGCACGCATGTGACTCGAGGATTAAATGCTAAATCTAACCATCATAGAGTGAAGGTTTATCATTTGGACATGTTTTGTCTTGCCAATTTACACATCAAAACTATTTTAAACGCAGAACAGGTAAAAATCGCGACTTGCACGCACACGCACACACACACACGTAGAGAGAGAGCCAGAGAGACCGGCGCGACAGAAAGATTCCTCTTTCATGTTTCCTTGCCCTTAAATGGACAAAAACACAAAATTGTTGGCACGTGTTCTCTCGGTTCTGTCATGAACAGGTGAGAAAGAAACCGGATGTTTGTCAGTTTATTCGGTCTTAAAGTGACAGCGGAGACCTAGTAATATTCCTGCTGTTGACTGTCAATGTTAATACAACTTTAACAAAGATAAAACTAGACTTAGTTATTTAGAATGAATCTCTGCTTGTAATGTGTGTATTTTAGGGCTGCAACTAACGATTATTTTGATAATCGATTAATCGGACGATTATTTTTTCGATTAATCGATTAATCGGATAAAAAATTCAATTCGATTTTTTTTTTTATTATGACTAAATAAAACCCGATTACACTTTATTTTAAGGTGTCCTTGTTACAGTGTAATTATATATTTAAGTACAGAGTAATATAAAGTAACTACATGTACTTACTATAGGAATAGGGTAGGATTAGGTTGAGGGTTAGTTGCATGTAATTATGCATAATTTACTGTTATTACTACAGTAAGTACATGTAACATATGTAACAAGGACACCGTAAAATATAGTGTTACCTTAAACCCTAAATCAGGATATTTATGTGTAAAAGTGTACTTTAAAAAGTGCAAAAGCCACACATTGAGTTTTACAAATATCAATATTTGCATTGTTTTTAATGATAATTGCTGATGGCAAGTTGACAACCATGATTATTGTAAAAAAACAAACATTTATATCCAACATATTGTTTTAACACAATTTTTTTTTAAACAAATTTACAGACATGTTGTTCAGATGTGAATATATAAACTAAAAACATCTCAAATATATAATTCATTTAATTTTTATTTAAAATTAATTGAATTATAAGGATAATTTGTAAAAAATAAATATAGAAAGACTGAAAACAAGCGTGTGAACATAGAGCCGCAGTAGATCGCGTTTGAAAAACAATTAAAACTTAATAGTAGACAAATGCTATAAAAAGAGAACGGAATGGAGGTACGCAGCAAGCTAACAGGCTTGATTAAAAAGACAGGAAAAATGATGCATTAGTGCACAAACATTCGCTGAAAACCACTGAGTACAGTGACTAAAAAACAATAATTTACTGCTGCTGTTATTAACTGCCTTTATATTTAGTGCTTCGCTTTGTAAAGACCGTTTTAATGTAATATTTCTGCGGTAGCACTATTTTAATCCATCGCTTATGTTGCGAGCGAACTGATTGCGCAACCTGATGCTCGAGACGCAAAATACAGACATCCCAAGTCTCCCGGAAGTTCTGGAAGTCACCCGCATATTGATAGCGGCTCGCAAATTAGTTCAAACTCCCGGGATTTGAGCGCGCAAGCAAGAGCGCACATGCGAGACAAAAGAGACTGTGCTCCAAACCGTGTAGCGCGAGCGCGCGGCAGAGCAACGGAGGGAGAGAGACCTTGCGTGTGTGCCTCATGAAGCGCGTGTAAGACAGAGAGCATCCTGATTGGCCTGTTTCAACCAATCATCAGTAAACGCTCCCCGTGACGTAAGCAGACCAACTAATCGATAATGACATTCGTTGACAACGATTTTCATAATCGATTTTATCGATTAGTTGTTGCAGCCCTAGTGTATTTGTTCTTATTTTATCCCTGACTGTTCACTTGTCTTTAATAATGTGTGAACTTTATCGGTTAGGCTGGTAGTTTTTGCTGTGGTATAGAAGAACTGCAAGTGAGCTTTAAGTAATAAACGAAACGCAAACTTACACCCCCCATATATATATATATATACCTTTTTTTTTTTTGCTGATCCGACCCGTGGCTATCACACACACACACACACACACACACACACACACACACTCACATCCAACGCCTCTCCTGTTCTCACACACAAGTGTTGTCACAGTACCAAAATTTCAGTATTCGGTACCAATACCAGTGAAAATCCACGGTTCTCGGTACCAAAGCTTAATTTAGATAAAATGTACATATATTAAAGTGTATATCACAGTTACAAAGATGGAAACTGTAGTATTAAAAACACTTTACAATAAGATTATATTTGTTAGATAACATTAGATAAAATGACCTAACAATAAACCATAGTTATATACATAGCAATTATTCTCCTTGGGGTTAATTAAAAAATATACTAATACATTTTTAAAATCAAAAGTTTTATCTGTTAACATTATTTAATGCACAATGAATGAAGTGAACAAACATGAACAATCAAGTGTTTGTATTAAATAACATTCACAAACATTAATTAATGTTGTAAAAATATATTGTTCACTCAATGTGTTGATGTTAACACATCAAGTAATATTCTGTCCCTCTATGTTCAATAGTATTGTATTAGTTCGCTGGTGCATTTCTTTATCTTCCCTCTAGGGGTCAGTATCTCCTTTACTGTTTTTCTTCTTCTACGATATATCGCGTGCGCTTTTCGGCGCTCGTTGGGGATGTGTGGAGGCAACAGGAAAAAAGTGTTTCACGCAGTGTTAGAAAAATGTCCCGAGGTGTTGACATTCTACTCTCCTCTCAGACCCCTTATATCGTTGGGATGCTTTGACATGCCATAATCTGTAAGTAATTAGTGGCTAATGTTGTTTTTTAAACGTTCCATTACTTAAGAGGTTATTGTAACTCTTACAAGCGAATGTTGTTTGTTATTCTAGCCACGCTAATGTCGCTAGCTTCTGTTTAGTATGTGGTTGCACAATATCTTATAAGTCAATGTTGGCGCCACCTTTCTCACTCTCCGTTCGCCAGGTTGTACTTACAAATTGTAAAAAGTAAAACAAGTAGCTTTTGTTTTTTCCTGTGTAGCTTTGACGAAGGCTTGCTGAGTTCGTGTTTTACTAAATCTAACTAAAGAGGAAAGATCTGTTATACTTTTACAGAATAGTGAAGAAAGAAAATAAATGTACAACGTTCTTCTACAGTAGCAGGAAATATATGTCGGGATTACAGATATGTTGAACAGTAATTTGAACTACTGGTGAATTTGTGTCCTAAAACCGCAATAACTACAGTATATTCTGCAACCACATGGTGGCAATCTGTCACTAACTGAATAATTTAAAGAATGTAATCTTGCGATTCTTATATCTTGAATTCTTATCACTTCCAGTATTTAAATTCACAGCAATGTGTATTGGTTTGTTAAATAATGTATTTTTAATAAACTTTGTTTGTATGTTCACAGTTTTACAAATCAATCAAAAAAGAGAGGTCTTCAGTAAAGGCACTGAGAAGAAAACTGTGTCCTGTTCAGTGTTGGGCAAGTTACTTTTAAAAAGTAATTAGTTACAGTTACTACTTCCAAAAAGTAACTAAATTAGTTACTCAGTTACAAATTTTAAAAGTAACTAGTTACTTAAGAAAGTAACTATTGCGTTACTTTCAAGTAAAATTAAATTTTAAATGCTCAAATGTGACCCCACCTCTACCCCTCTTTAACGGAACTTACAATACATGTGCATGTTCAATTATTTATGATAAATCTGAATATTATAATGAAATGGACACTTAATACAATACATTATTAACAGAAACATGAAACATTGTACACACATCAAAAAAAAAAAATGTTGCTGTGGGACAAAGTGAGACTAGCCTCCAATCAAATGCCATGTAGATATTATGTTTATATAGTGGATCAATGCAAATAACACAATAGATGTTTAGGAACTTTTGATATTTATTGCCCCTCAACAGGCCACAACTGGGCAAAATTAAATTAAGCTTGTTAAGCTCGTCGCCATACCTGTCTCTCGTTGACTGACTGGCTTGCTTGTGTTGTTCATTGTGTGTCCTGTCCTGTCCGACTATGCGTTATGATGGGTCGTTCGCAATTCATGAGCGTTAGCCGTTAGTGATGATGGATCGACTCGTTCGCGAATGAGCTTTTGATGGGTCGTTCGCGATTCGCGAATGAGCCGACTCTAAGAGCCGGCTCTTTTAGGTGAACGTCGGGAGCTGGCTCGCATATCTGAAGAGCCGACTCTATTTTTACAAATTTAGCCTATAGAAATTAAATAATTATGTAATAAAAATTTAAATATTATAGTCAAAGTCATGTAAAGAGCCGTTTGTGAGCCAAAAGAGCCGGCTCTTTTCAGTGAGCTGAGTCAAAAGAGCCGAATGCCCATCACTACTATGCGTGCTTTCGAACACCCGCCCAACTCTACCTCTGATTGGCTTACAATGACATTTTACTCTACCTCAGTCGTCAGCATGTATGCGCTTGTCTCGTGCTCTGCCCACTAACCAAGGAAGAACAGTAAAAAAAGTATTTGCCTCTCGCTCGGAGATCTAGTTGGTCTGATGAAAAAAAAAAAAAAACCCAGCTTCATCAGTTATAGTAACGCGCCGCATTTTTTGGCAGTAACGGGAACGGCGTTATTAAGATGAGAAGAGTAATCAATTAGATTACTCGTTACTGGAAAAGTAATGCCGTTAGTAACGGCGTTATTTATAACGCCGTTATTCCCATCACTGGTCCTGTTATTCCTGGAACCACCTTCTCTTATTGCATGTTTAGCTCGCTGCACAGGCTGAGTAGCCACACACTCAACCGAGGGCAGAAGAAGTAATGTTAATGAATGGTATCTTATTGTAGTGTTACCAAACTATACAGGAGATAAAAGATGTTTTATTTGACTTAACTGTAGCCTACTTTTATTTAATCCAAAACTGCCAAAAATGTCACTCTTGCCTGTCTTCAAAACTTGAGAACCCTGTAGCTGATTTCTAATGCAAGGGCTAGTAATCAATTAATTCTTTGCTGATACTTCCTCGTCATCACGGAGAGCGCAGTTTGCACCGCTTTCTCCTTCTCTCCACAAGCGCTCGCTCTCGCGTGTCTCCGCTATGCAACCATAAACAGTGACGCGCCTGGAAAAACAAGCTCGCACGCCGCTTCTATTATGAGCGCGCTTCCCGGGCGCCTACATTTGAAATTTGCACGCGCAAAAAACGTGCTATGTGAACGTATGAACGGCCCTTTATGGCAACGTGACATTAGCCTAATTCAACATATTTCCATATGTGGCTCTTTCCTCCTTTCTTGTCAACAAGTGGATTCAGAGCCAGCGCATTAGCAGCGCCGCCGGTCGCCGTGTCTCAGTGTTTTTATGAAGAGGACGCAACTCTACCAGCGCATCAAGAACCGGATTAACCCGTTACTCGGTACCTAGAAAAGCTGGTACCGTAACCGTTAATTTTTTTTAAGTACCGACTTGGTACCGAAGTACCGAGTTTTTTGACAACACTATCACACACACACACACACACATCATTACCCGTGGTCCACCGCTGCCTCCCTCAGAGCGTCACGGGCCGCTTGCGTGGCCTTCCTCCAGCCGGAGATGATGATCTGAGGATGGATCTTCTTGGCGATCAGCAGCTCTGCTTCCTGAGGCACAAACATCACACACACATGATCAAGCCTGCGCCGCGTCCGGCGGGAAACACAGTGTGTGTGTGTGTGTGTGTGAGAGAGAGAGTCGTACCCGCAGCAGCTCAGCGGCCAGCACCGTCACAGAGGTCGTGCCGTCGCCCACCTCGTCATCCTGAACCTTCGACATGTCTGCGGCACATCATGAGGACACATTCGGTTTGTGGAAATAACAATAACACAATGTTACAGGAATTCATCTCTGGTGTCATTTTAGACATATATTTAGAATTTCTTTTAATTGTAACTTCATCAGAATGGTATGACACTTGCAGCACTTGCTGTGTGATCGACGACAAAAAGAAAAAGTGGACTTTGAAAAAGCTAAATGGTTGTTCATAAAAAACAAAAAGTCACACTCGTGTTGTTCGTATCAGCACAGGAAATTAACGGAAAATACACAAATACAGAGCGAAAACAGGGGTGAAACTAACATCAAGAGTGTGAAACACACACACACACACCTTGATGTTCATATTAGATAGTAATAAAAAGCATTTCAAGGCAACATAAAAATTAAAAATAAATTAAAAAAAGAGACTTTGGCAAAAAACCAGTCTTTGATAATCTCTAAATAAAAACCTTATAAAAGCAAGTAATTAAGTCTGAAAACACAGTTCTCGGGGGAATATATGCAGTAGTCATACATAGGGCTAGTCTAGTGGTTCAGATGATTTTACCATGTATAATGTTGACTATAATGAATAATAATGCAATGGGGGAATATTTGTGGGTGCTGATAAAAATGTTACGAGTAAAAAGTGGCTTACGTTATTTTAGATATATATCTAGTCAGTGACAGTCTCAAATAATTCTGTATTTTCAGCTTCAGATGGAAATAATATCATATCGCGAGTTCAGTATCGAATCATGACATGAGGGTTTCGTTACACCCCTAGTCAGATGAAATGTAGTGCATTATTTCATAAAAATGTTCAATTATAATAAGGATTAGGGTCTCCAGTAAGTGTTGACCATGAACAACACGAGTGTGACTCCCAAATGAACGATACCAGAGGGTTAATACTATTATCACTATTGTTGTTACCATAGTGAACACACACACACACACACACAGAGACTCACCCACGAGCACTTTGGCGGCGGGGTTGTCGACGCCGATGGCCTTGAGGATGGTGGCGCCGTCGTTGGTCACGGTCACCTGACTGTCCCTGCCGCCACCCAGCAGGATCTTGTCCTGTGAGGTCAGAGGTCATTAATGAGCAATATTCAGCGGTTATGATCGTAACGCAGCGGCCGGCACACGTACCATGCCCTTGGGTCCCAGAGTGCTTTTCACCAGATCCCCGATGGCAATGGCGCCGATGAAGGAGGACTGAAAGCACAGAGAGAGATCTCGTTAGCCATAATCACGGTTATTAATAATCACGGTCACTGCACGAGTCGCACGCTCACCAGTCGAGCCGTCTCGGCCTTCTCCTCGTCCGCTCCTTGTCTGAAGATGTTCATGGGGGCCATTGATAGAGACGCCTGCACACACACACACACACACACTCTGGTCACAATCAAGGTTTGATGCACATGCATCTCCTTACAACATTATTAATCTCAGAAGTGTACATTTATGTATATTTAGCATGCAGCTAATCTGAATCAGGATTCAGTCAGTGTTCCTCAGTGTTGATTTAATATTATTCATATAATTATGGCGTTCTCAATATGTATATTAGAAAGCATTGTAGAGAGCGGGTATTTATTCATTCTTGTAATCGTGATTTTTATTATTATTATTCATTATACTAATATCAGATACTTCAAAATAATTAAATCATGCTACTATCATCATTTTAATAATTATCCGTATAAATATAACTGCACTCTCATGCTCAGCTCAGTGACGTCAGTGGCCACGCCCTCCACAGAAAGCACTAGAAACTCCCTGATGATGATCCGCTATTTTAAACCTTCCATCACAACACAAACTATCGAAACACACACGAGTAACTCATAACATAACAAACAAAACAATGAAATCAGATAATAAAGGCAAACACGTCCATTATAACACCATAACGCAGTGGTCTGAACCCATTGTTCGTGTTCACGCGCATGCCGCGCACAAACCCTCACTCTTTCAGCGTGAATAAAGTGCGATTGCTGCGGTACAATCACACTACCGAGTGACTACCGTTACACGCGCTGCACTACATCACATCTCACTCATTATATCTCCGCTGAATTATGATTTAACAACAAAATCGCTCACCATGATGATAATAGGATGTGCTGAAGAGACGCACACGAGACAGGAAGAACAGTGCAGGGAAGCGCGCGACAGATCTACCGCTTCCTGTCTGCGCGCGAACACTTTTCAACTTAAAAGTCCCTGTAGTGCGCTTACGCATTTGGGCAGTTTCAAAACATTTTAATTAGTGATACATTATATATTTTTTAGATTTAGCTACTTTAATAAACTAAAATGATGATTACATTTAACGTACTTAAACGAACCTATCGGCGAGATTAGTCGCTTGAAGTCGGGGAAAAAGCAGACTGTAAAAAAATATGGACATAGTGTCCGTGACGTCACCCGTAGGTTTCTGAAGAGTGTCATAGGTTGGTTTCACGTGACGTCACGCTGCTGCATCGCGAGAGCGCGAAATTCAGATGGAGGGCAGGAAGTGAAATAGCTGAGGATCTGCCGTCTGACAAAATGCCAATGTTTTGTGTAGTGTACGGCTGCTCCAATCGTTCCAATCGAGAAAAGGGAAAGGGTTTTCATAGAGTACCGAAGATTGTAACTCATAAAGGTGAGAAATGTAAAAAACTCACAGAACAACGCCGCAAAAAGTGGATTTTTAACGTATGTCTGCGGTCGGGAGGAGCAGAGTCTGTGAATGCCCGTGTCTGCAGCGACCACTTCGTCGGAGGTATGTTAGCGTGTTGTTTGTGTTTATATAGCATTAGGTTGTCGGTAAATGCTCATTTAGTAGTCTAATATGGACTTCATTGGGGCTTTTTAGGCTGCCCTAGCGCTTTGGGTGACGTTGAGTCGGTAGACTGGGCTCCGACGGTCAACCTAGGTTACGTAAAAACTAAGCCCAAATCAGAGGCGTCTCTTAAACGAGAGCAGAGGATGAAGCTCAAGGAAGACCAACAAAGACGGTGGGAATGTGCAGATGCTATGTTGGATCTCCAACAGACAGATGAGAGTCCGGATCTGATGCCACCGAAGCAGCCAGCTGACAACAACCCACAATCAGAGGGGATCAGCGGGAATGGGGCATTAAATGGTCAAGGTAAATTATTGTACTAAGATGTGTAACCAGCATTATTATTCATTGTTATTAGGAATTATTAATTGTTACAAATGTTGACCAGCAAACTTGTATGTTTGCAAAAAAAGATGACTTCACAACAATTTACATAATTTTTAACCAAAATCACTCAGTATAATTGGACCAGAGAACTTGCATGTTTGTAAAAAGGTTGTCAAAAAGATTCACATAATTTATATTCATGAATTAACTAATTATGCTCCCCACTGATATGTTGCAGGCTATGTAGATGCCGGATGCCAGACTGAGCTAACAATGGATGACATTGAGAAGATGGAGGATGTTCTTAGACAAAACACAAACAGAGCTGGGAGATCTTCGAGCCAAAGCACTGGACACACAGTTCAACAAGGAGTCCTTTGAAAAAAACGAAGACAAGACAAGGTTCTACACGGGGCTCCCCAACTTCTTAGTTTCAATTCAGATTTTTGAGCTGTGCAAACCCTACATCAGCTGTGGTCCTATGTGTGTGCTGTCTAAATTTGAACAGTTTATTTTAGTTTTGATGAAGCTGAGACTAAATCTCCCGCTGAAAGATTTAGCTTTCAGGTTCAAGATCTCGTCTCTGCCAACTGCTTCTAGAGTTTGGCATAAATTAATTGACATACTTTATGAAAGGTTGGAATTTCAAATTGAGTGGCCAGAGAGACATGTTCTTCAAGCTACAATGGGATTCAGACAGGCATTTGGATGTAAAGTTGCTGTGATAGTTGACTGTTTCGAAGTTTTTATTGAGAAGCCCTCTAATTTACTAGCCCAAGCACAAACGTGGTCAAACTACAAGCATCACCATACTGTAAAACGTCTGATTGGTGTTGCACCCCAAGGCTATGTCGCTTACATATCTTGTGCCTGGGGAGGGAGAGTCAGCGATAAACAGATAACAATAGAGAGTGGCCTCCTAAAAAAACCTGTTACCTGGAGATATTGTCCTAGCAGACCGTGGGTTCAATATTGGTGATAGTGTGGGATTTTACTGTGCTTCACTACAGATACCGGCATTTACCAAGGGGAGAAAACAGCTGTCAGCGTATGAGGTGGCAGACACAAGAAAAATAGCGAATTTGCGTATTCATGTTGAGAGAGTTATCGGTTTAGTCAGAAGAAAATATCAGATTCTGTAAAGCAGGGCTATGCCCATAGAGCACATGGTAACAAAACAAGGTGAGGCACTAGCATTGATTGACAAGATTGGGGTTATTTGCTGTGTCTTGTCTAATCTTTCGGAGTCCATTGTCCCATTAGAGTAAGGAGGAGGAAGGGATAGGGATAATAATCAGTCAGTCCAGTACCTGAGCCCTCACACATGTAATGTCCAATATCTGATCCCTGCTTCTTGGCTCTGATGATAAGAGGACAGGGAGTAGTAGTACCTGAGCCCCGACACGTATCAGTCTGTTAATGTTTTCAACAAGTGTAATACATTTATCAATTGTACTGGCTATATGTAATGAAATGGATTTTGATCTGTTATTGCACACTATGTTCTTGTTATTATAACAATTGTTGAAAACAGTTACATTACACATGTGAGTTTGTAACTTGCTGTCCCAGTATTTCTGGAAGTATACCATTTCTAAAAAAAACACTCAACTTTAGGGATAACCCCATCCCAAAGTTCAAGATCGGGCAAAATCCTTTCAACAAAAATGTCATTGTGGTTCCACACAACAAAATCACAGTACTCAGCGTCTACAATGTGAAGCTGTCCCTGAACTTGGTAGTAGTAGTCATGAGTCCGGTCCAGCGTGACATGATCCCCATCATTGATGAGGCAGAAGCCCTTTTCCCCAGCACACAAGTGCAGATTGGCTTCATCTTGGTGAGAGTGTGGACACTAAAATCACAGAGAGAAGGACACGTGAACAATAGATTAACAAATATATTTTCTGCCTTTTTGCCCAGTTTAGGACTTGAGACATGACTCGGACTTGAGATTTAGGTAGTTTACTACAACAGAGACTGTAATATTACCTTAATCTCGCAGATGCCAGTTCCGCGACAATCCCATCAGGGGAGGACCCCATGTATGGCCACTTGGGGTTCAGCCAGAGACCACTGTCCATACAGGAGAAGCCTGCATGCTCCCGACCCATCAGCTTCTCATACACTCCTCTGGCTTGTGCTTCATGTTTGCATCCATAACTACACAGTACACATGCAAAACATGAAAAGGAAATGATTACTTAGTATTAGTGATTTAAATGCCATTACCCTAACCCCTATACTTAGTTCTACTCCTGCATAACCCTAGTCTTATAACCCTATAACTAATAACTAGCGCGCACCAAAGCAATGTGTTACTATACATTTCATTTAATAAGATACATTTACTTAATAGTCAAGCTTCTTTTTTTTATCCAAATTATACCCTCTGTTGTCAGTGTTTCTTTTTCTGGACATAAACACTGTTTACACGTGTCCTTACCCTAATTCAAACCCTAAATACCTTGTAGCGGCTGTGGTGAACCTATATGCTTCTGGGTAGCATATGGCCTTGATCAAGCTCTTGGATGGTTGCTGGGGGTTGGTCTTAATAGCTTGTTTCAGCTTGGAAGCAGTTATGCGTCCAGCTCTTTGCCTAATCCTGCTTGCACTCTGACTGCGAGTTGCCCTCTCTACAGCCTGGACCTGGGACATGATGAGCTCTTCTAGCTGGAATACCTGGCGTAGCTCTCCAAGCTCTTTGGGGGGTCGCTGCAGAGTCTCTGGTGTTCTGTATTCATGACCAGTTTTAGGAAGCATACTAGATTTGGGGATGAATTCTTTGTAGTAAGGCTCCCTAGCCATCAGTGCTGCACTCCTTGGACAGTTTTTGCTTAAAGTCTCAAAAAAACTAGCATATGTTTCTGACCCTCTCTTCACTTTTGGGCATGAAAAAGTGATTTCCCAACCTGGTTTTCAGTTGTCCTGCCATCAATGGAATGATCAAGCTTATTTTTTTTGGCTTTAGCAGAAGAGAAGTCGATCAGAGCTACTGGAGCAGCAGGAATCTGAAAATAAGTTAACACAAAGAAGATCATTAAGTCCACATTTCTGTGGTCCATAACCATAACATATTCAGTATAATCTGGCGTTTATCCTATGGCTGTGAGCAAAAAAAGGGTAAGGCTATCATCACAGGATTGAGATGCCAAACTGTGCTTCTTAGCTTCTCTTTGTCCAACAGGGAAACCGTGACTGACCACATTGTCACAAGCTACACATATTAAGGCAGAATATAGAATAGAAATAATTTAATAATCCCCAACATTAGGTATGATGGAATATAATGAAAATCCCCTAAAAGAAGATGAAATGTAGACGAAGACAATATAAATATTAATTTAACATAATTTAGCCTACAGTTACACAGTGTCCCAAAAATAACATTCTCTGTCCCACATTTGGTTTGCTGTGAACGTGTCACTCTACCTTTTCTACATGTGATGGCATCAGCCGCTTGCACTGCTCTGTTGTGCAGGAAACTTTATCTCGCATCTTTACCACAACTTCAGTGGACAAAAGGACTGCCCCTACACGAGAACACGATTATGATAGTCTGTGATTAGAATACAATATGATTTATTTATTTTGTTTTACCTCAAATGCAATCTAGGGAAAAGTACAATCTATATCAGCCCATTTTGATGATGTGCAATATAGCCCAGAGCGTTCAAATCAGAGGCTAAAATCCGGCGAGGAGAAATGCATGTTATTTCCAAACTATGACAATATTTTATATAAAAAACATACTAACATTATAAGGACACCCCAGGCAACATTATAAAACAATCCAGTTCATGACCCCTTTAAGCTCTCTCCAGTATGCTAGCAGTGTGTGAGAGAGATAAAGATCTCGTGGTAACGTTAAACATCCTAGCCTACATAAATGACTTACCCTGCCATCAGCTGCAATGATTTCTCCATCCTCCTTCACAATAATCCAGGTCTTCAGAGGTGTTTCGCCTGATCTCTGAGAGTGCTTTACCTTCAAACATAAACGATTGTCAGTCTAACGTCGTCGTTAAGATGTGTTGCATGTTTGTTGACATTATAGTCGTTACTGCTAG